TCTGGCCTCTGCAGGCACTTGCACTCATGCACATAGCAACACACAGACACATTTGAAAATAGTAAAGTAAGTCATTTTAAAAGAAATATTTGATCCATAACAGATAAAAATAAATATAATCTCCTTCCTTTTTCATACAAATGATAATTCAGTGCTCCATGCTCTAGCTGGAAAAATAGCCCAACTTAAATGTTGCTTTTTAAAAAACCTTCATGGTATCTTTCTGTTCCATAAAAGTACCACCACAGTTCATTATCCAGACTTCTACTGCTAAATGTTTAGATTGCTCCCAAACTTTCATGATTATAAATAATTCTATGATTAATGACTTTGTCATAAAAGAAACACCATCTGCATACACAAGAGTTGTTTGTTGGCTAAGTTCTTAGAAATGGATTACTGGGTGAAAAGATACTCACATCTGTAATGTTGATAGACATTGGCAAATCACCCTTTCTAGCCCATGTGCCAGTTCCTACCCTATGCAGTATATGTTTCCATTTTCCTGACTTTCCCCTGCACCATGTGTTAGCAAACATGAGATCTGCCAAACTGACATATGAAATGTAATGTCATGTCTCATAGTTTTCTTTCGTATTTCCTCTATGTGAAATTGAGCATTTTCTTATGTGTTTAAGAGCCTTTTGTGTTTTACCCCTTCAGTTCACATCTCTTCATTTTGGTGGCCATTTTTCCTATTGTTTTTGCAGTGCTGGGAGTCAAATTCATGACCTCTTGAATTCTAGGCAAGTATTCCACTGAGCTACATACATCCTCACCTCTGTTATTATTTCAAAGAAGCTCCTTTGGGAGAGAAAATCAAACCTTTACCAATAAGAGTGGCACACTTTTTCTCAGTTTGTGGTTTGAATTTTTTATGGTGATCTTTTTACTTTTATGTAGTTCATTTTCTCAAAGGTTGGTTTTAAGCCTTCTGGGTTTCCTGTTATATTTAGCATCGCTTCTCCATTCCAGCACAGCAAGACCTCTGTGCCTTCTTTTATTTCTCTTTATTTCACATATTTAAGGCTTTAATCCATCAGAAACTTCTTTTGGTACAAGTATTAGTTATGCATCCAACTTAATTCCAGAAACTCACTCATATTGTCCTAGTACAATTAACTGAAAAATCGAATTCTCTGATTTGAAATGCACCTTTATCATACACCAGAACAACAGCAAATCAATTGTACCGCATAACACAGTTATGCCTGAGATTTTTATACTCTACTCCACTGAGCTGTTTCCCATAAGCCAACGCTATACATGGAAATCATCACGGCTTTATAATAGGTTTGTAATATAGGTTTGTAATCTTTATTGGAGTAGGGGCCCCACATGCCACAGCATGTATGTAGAAGCCAGTGGGCAACTTCATGAGTCCATTCTCTCCTTCTGCCATATTGGTCCCTAGGAATAAATTCGAGTCATCAGGTTTAGTGGCAAGTGCTATCACCTACTTAGCCCTCTTACCAGTCTCATTACAGGTTTAATATCTGGGCTGGTTGCCACTACTTTTTTATGATTTTCATGTCTCTTCCTGTCCATTTCTTTTTTTGCATTAACATGAGAGGCACCTTACTTAGTATCAAAGCAGGTTTTGTCTTCACTGAGATTCTATTAAACTAAAGTTGACATGAACGTCATGTTGAATCTTTCTAGTGAAGCACTGGACGGGCTAAGGCTGCTCTGGGTTTCCTGGCCGGGTGTGGAAGGGACGGTACAGTGTCTATGCATAGTGGTTATTACCCTCATTGCCCTCATGCTACCTAACACACAGAACATCAACGTTTGCTCTTCTAGCTCTCATGAATGCTTAAAAAATGTTCTAGAACATCCAAATTTCTTTTAAATTAAATCTACTTTGCCTAAGTTCCTCCAATATGTCTTCTAATTATTTAAAAGAATATTTATCTCTCCATATTTATTTTCATCAAACAAAATTGCTTCCTATATTGTTTAACATGATTTTTCAGATGACTCTTAAATTTTTAGATGTAACATCTGCAAATAATAATCATGTTACCTCTTCTTAATGTCTAATTTCCTCTGTCTAACTGAATTTGGTAGCACATACAGCCTACAGTTAAGGGGCACTAGTTGTGACTAGACATCTTTCCCTTGCTTCCGTCTTCAATGGAAGCATACATTATTTCTCCATTGAGTTCATTGCCGGACTTTATGCTGAAATAAATGCATACACTCATGAATGAAAGTTCGTCTATCGCTGGTTGACTCCATCTTCCACCAAGAATGAACATCAGGTTTTTTTTAATGTCCTCTTAGTTCCTATGGAAAAGACAATAATTTTCTCCTCATAATAATAGACTGCCTGACTGTGGTAAATCCTTGCAACCCCACAGTAAGCCCTAACTGTTAATGCTAGACTCTGTTCATGTGCTGCTAAAGTCTGGTTACTGATATTTTATGCTAGACTTTTGGGCTGATATTCATAGCTGATCTTTGGTCTATGATTGCCAGTGTAGCCACTGCTGCATATAATTTCCAATATTATTTCAGATTCATATAAAATAATGTAGATTCCTCTTTCCATGCTAGTTTAGTAGTAGAGAAGCCATTTTATTTCACATAAAGTTTCCCTCTTCTTTTAATTTAAATTTTATTTTATGGGTACTGGCGTTTTTGCCTATATGTATGTTTATGCATCACTTGTGTGCTTGGTGCCTGCAGAAGTCAGAGAGGGTACTGGGCTCCCTAGAGTCACAGACACTTGGGAGCTGTCTTGTGAAAGTGGGCAATCAAACCCAGGTCCTCTGGAAGAGCAAACAGTGCTCTTAACCACTGAGCCATCTCTCCAGCCCTCCTCTTTTTTTTTTTTTTTAATTCTTTTTTCTACCAGTGTTTTTAGTTAGGCATGAATAGGTTCCAATTGCCTCAGACAAAGATGAGTATATTCTTTCAAAAAAAGTTACCATTATAATCATTAGATATTAGAATATCATAAATGAGGGAATAAGCATAGAAATACATAAACATCTGGATGCAAAATTTTCAACAAATATTACTAAAAAAAAATGAGCAACCGGTACAACAAGGAACTACTTAAATAAATTATCGATGTTTCTATATAATACAACCCAATGGAGTATTGAAAGTGGCATGTTGGTATGAAGATATAAACACTCCTCAGTTTTCTGAGATTTTAGTAATGGGAATTTTTTTACCTTGTGATGAATAATACATAGTTTACAAGTAGAAGCCATAGTGTAGCTATGTACCAACATGAAAGGATATTCACAATATGTGACAATGTGTGGCCCAGAAAAAAAATATGATCCCCAGTTTTTTAATGTGTGTTCCATGTGGGTAGGTTTAAGGTGACTTTGAGGGGCTAACTTAATTTTGGATGATATACTATTTATATTTTCTTATGCCTATTTCCCAGCCTCCCAGGGTGATTATGGGTGCTACACGAGGTCAGGGTCAGATGTTTCTGGGTTTTTGGCCTCTTATCCAAACAACCAAAAATAGGGTTCACACAAATTTATAAAATAGGAAGTAATTGCATTCAAAGAGAAGCAATAGTAGCAATAGTGACCGTTAAGAAGAGACACACTGGCAAGGTTGACAGCGGCTATGTGAGTGAGGACTAACGCCCCAGGCATGGCCTGGAATCTCTTTTTTAGAGTCTACAGGAAGAGAGGGTCGCACTCACTCTTGACCCTTTCTCCTCTCAATTGCTTTTATCCCGGCATTTTATCAAAGTATCAGAGAAAGTGACTGTTACAATATACAATTTTAAATACACAGTGCAGCACCAGGGAAGGTATACATACAGCAAGACTAAAAAGAAAATAAATAGATTTTCTACATTCTCTCTTTGATATATAAAAAAAGAAGCAAAACTAAGCATAAAACCCTGACATTTGGGTCTTCATGGTGTGCTATACAGATGCTCTCTTCCTTTGTAGTATATTTTTAAAAGACACAGAAAAAAAAGAGAAAAATACATTCATTAAAATATTTTTCTATCCAAATAAAGAATGAACTTTATTGGCAAACAACCTGATCTAATTATATAGAAAACCATATAAAAATGTTAAATTTAATGAGCCATTTAGATAAAGTTGCAGAAAGAAAGGAAATCCTGGAATCTTTGGGAACACTGTTTGTTTCCAGATAGATTTGAAGTCAGCACACTCACGATGATCTGAAGAAGTTTCCAGCTCCCAGGGGACTGTGCCAGCCGGAAGGGGACACTGTCTGATTCTGGAGTATGCCTGTGATCCCAAAACAGGATCCCAGGATAAGGAACTCACACGTACCTGGATTTGTTCTAGAACAACTCGCTTGTCTCTAGAAGACCTTATGAAAACCGAAGACACTGCTGAGAGCAGTGACAGGGCCAGCAGGAGCTGCAAACCAGGAGAGCAGCAGCTGGATTCTCGCCCCAAGGAACCCCATGCAGCCTCCAGGGCCCTATGGATGGAGGGTCACCTGAAACTGGCAGATGAGGACACTCGGAGGAAACCAAGATTCAGCAGGGGTTAGACTTCTGCCTCTCAAATTCAACAGTATTATTTCTAACTTAAGGCCAGTCCTAATTCACCCAAAAATGAATGTTAAACTCATAATGAGGTGAAGATTTATTTATTTATTTATTTATTTATTTATTTATTTATTTATTT